TTAAGGCTAAATGAAGGTGGCGAAGAAGGAAACACGTGGACAATGTGGTGGAAATTGAATCAGCGCAGAGAAAAATCAAATCTCACGAAAAGAAGTCAAGATGCCAAGCCACAGCCATTTCCTAGAGTAGATATAGCCGAACCGTTTGTAGATGTCTTTATGCGTTTCATTCTATGGAAACAATTAGATCACCAGCAACGAGTGGTAAGGGTTCGGCCTTCAGAAAGGAGTAGCAATGTCATGGGATGGAGCCCTGAATATTGCCCTAAAACATCTATTTAAACAAAGTGTATTTGATTATGAAATAAAATAGAAGTGCTTGGCGGGAGAAAAATTGGTTATTCAAAAACCATTCGAGTTTACCCTTTGTAATAAAGTGTGGTTAATGTTGATGAACTGCGTGAAGCTATTCGTTGACCTCAGCGCCAGTCGAAACAGAACTATAACGTGGTGAAATATTTGGTGGCGACAACAGTTACTTTCCATCGCTTCTCCGTAGCAATAAAAGCTTTGTACATTTGGTAAATGCGAATGGGGAGAATAGCACGGTGGAAGTGATGCCGGTCACCACGAACACGATTCTGGTTCGATTCCGGTTCGGGCTCACCAAGCCTCTCAACTCTCCGGGGTCGGGAAATTGGTACCGAACTTGTCTGGGTAAAAATCACTCTCTGCAATCCAATTGAGAACGCCTGCAGCCTGGCTATCTCAAGACAACAGGGAGAATTGCTCGACCAGCATTCTTCGACATTGAAGATGAAATGAAGATCCTCAAACAGCAACCGAAGCCACACGTAAAAACTTGGAAGGCCTTCGTGGACAATGGATGTGAGGAAATGAATTGGATGTGAGAAGTGCTGGGATCCGCACAGTAGAGGTGATGGCGGATTAAAGGAAATAAAAATTTAGAAATATAGATAGATTCTAATTTTTATAAAGCATTAAAAGCAATATCGTTCCCATAAGGATCTTTGTAGTGGAGATGTGTTGACTCTTCTCATATCACCCCATACAACCAATCCACAGACCTTTCTCCGTCGTTAAAAATGTCCCAGCTAATGAAAAATGCTCGAATACTACTCAAAAGCCACTGCAATGACAGTTGCGTGTTCGAATCGCGGACAAGATGAGCTAATTGTTCAGCCACCCCAAAATTAGGTACCGTCCCAAGTGGCCAGCGCGCTATAAGCAGCGCGAACGTTATCATAGGGTTAAGACATTCTACATTTTGACCTACCTGATTTTAAAAATCTTCTCATTCGTGACAACGTATCCCTATCTTTTGATAATCACCAAAAATAGCAGCTCCAGATTTCATTGCTCACTTCCATGAAAAATTAAACTGCTAGCATTAACCCTCATACGTTCGCCACTTTCCACATTCATTTAATGTCACAGTGTTCTTTAGACCCTCGAAAACCGCAGAGTGCTAAACTGAGAGTTGTTCTTTTTCTTGTTCAGAACTTGCTCCTAAACATACTCTTCGTTTGTAAAGTCCTGGAATTCAAAGGGTATTGGTAACGTTGACCCGGGTGAACATATCCGAATTCTTTGAAGAATTTCTTCATACAAGTGGGACATAATGAACAGATTTTTTTCTGCCGTATTCGCAAATTTCAGCAGTCAGCGAACCTCCCACATCGGTTATTGAGACAGGCAAGCTTTCGTTCTGCGTGCTAATTGGTTGATTTCATAAAAACGATATCCTCAACAAAGCAAGATGGACTAACTGCCAATCATTCACAAACGTGTTATCCCATCCCGTCCTTCACATAACGTGCTCCAGAGTAGATGTAAGTTTGGCGAAATGTGTCGTTTTGTCAAACTCCACTCAGTGTTCATACTCCTTAATGTCGCTGTAGAATTTTTTGAGATTCTGGTTATTAGGTTGTTCTACAGGTCATGAAAAATAGCCCCATACGAGGGTAAACACACTGGTTCTCAAGCGGTACTTCTTCTGCCTCAGCCAAGTGGAGGTCTTTATTTAGGTAGATGAAAGCGAAACAGTGTGGCTTCGCCTACTTTCCCAATACTTCAACTGGTTCCGTTGCCATGCAAATGTGATGCATCGAATTCCTTTGCAAATAACACTCTTTCGTATGGCCGTCCTTCTCCCAGTGTTCTATCATTCCTACTGAGGATGAATCGAGTAATGTGGTCGTCTTGTGAACGCTAGAAAACAACGGCTAGATTTGACGATTGTTGTCTCTATCGTTGATTTATCCTTTTTGCAGAGCAACGCCGCTTTACTGCCTTCCTAATCCGAAAAAAAATTAAAAGGAACAAACGAAAAAGCTCGATAGGCCATGCGACAAGACTTCCAGCAACCTCACTAATTCCTCATACGGCAATTTACTGACTATCTAAGAATGTGAGGAGTTATCGAATACAAAGAATTAAAGCCACTTCATTAAGCTCGCAATTACATGTCATTTGACATTATTGATGTTATTACCATCATTTTAAAATTTTTTTAGCTTAAATTTCATCTAATCTTCAACGACGGCATAATAGCTAAAATGTAAAAAAAACTGAAATTCGACTGCTCATGCTGGCGAAAAAACCCATTTTTTGTCAAAAGCTGAACCCTACTCAGTGGAAAGCTACTGCCTCTGTTTCTGTCTTAACATCCTTCCTTCAAAGGGCGCGTATGGTGCAGTGGTCGGAGGCACCCTGAAACACAAACATGGGATCGATTTTCGAGCCCGTGGCTCACCAAGCCTTCCATCTCTCCGAAGTCGGCAAATTGGTACCAAACGTGTCTGGGAGGATAGCAGCACTGGCTCGATACATCGGTAGGCCACCACGAACCATTGTAAAGGCCAGATATGCATTCAATCACCTCCAACGATACTTAATGAAGTTGAATGCATGGCGCATCTCTCAGAGATTGATCAACGCCGAAGGCTTTATCCTTTTATTTTATACCAAGTACCTTTATTATCCTCTACCCTTCCCACCCCTCCTTAATCTGTTGGGTGTTAATTTCAATGTGAAAAAACTCCGAATCTCGTGAGTTGAAAAACCGTTTGTGACAAAACACCATGCAAGAATTTAGTAAAAGGCCATACGACAATGGGAAAAAAAACTACCTTGCTAGGATGAAAAATGGCAACAAACGAATATTAACGAAATATATCGCTTTCACATTTGAAGAAAAGATTCGTCGATGTTTAGAAGAATGACTTCTCACGACGGTTCTTCTCTGCTTCTTATGGAACATTGTAGCTTAAAAACCGTAGCAAAACGCAGTGCACCATCTGTACCTCCGGGACTTGTACGTTTCTTTCATGTGCTTTGAACAAAGTAGAGCAAACCAACACATAGTCAATCACATTCTTCTGCCTACTTTGCTGATCACTCTTGAAATCCACAAGATCAGATTTATACTTGAATCTCTATCCTCAGCGTTGAGCACTAAGTTCTCCTATTCGTGTTGAATTGATGTTATCTTTCTCATACGTTTTTCTTAATTGGTTAGTGATTGACTAAAGTTTCATAAAAACACATTAGCACATTATTGAGAATCTATATGATTTGGCCAAAGCAAAATCAATCTTGTACTTCTTTTACAGCTTGCTATTGGCTCACCAAGATATAGAGACTTAGTATTGCAAGAGAGCACTATCTTACACCACTGTTTGTAAGCGACCTCAAGGTAGATGTATGATGGAGAACAATGTGTTCTCCGATTGGATCTCACAATATTTAATGCTTTCAGCGGTCAGTATATAGATATGGCCAAGCTCTAGAGGAAAATTTTTATCTGTTGCATTATATCGTCAGGGAGGTCATAATGGTCAGAGGTGCACTGCAATACAAGCTGCTTATTACCCTTAATCTCTCGCCTTGAGTTAACTCCCACATGTTCCCCTGGATAAATAAATAGGCATCAGAGTTTCTGTAAGGATACAAAAGCCTGCCTTTAGACCAGTGAAGCCATTTTGTGGTCCAAATTTGGCCACTATGGTGCTTAACTAAGTCAAATGTATGCTCGAACGTTTTGTCCTTTCTGTTTTTACCATAGTCATGGACATATTCCGGTATGCACTGCATTGAAGACACAGTGTAAATCAAACTTATGGACTCTTATCCAGTAAACTGAAGGGATGTTTATAATGTTAAAGCAATAGAAAGTCCGATTGGTTTACTCCAAGGAACAATTCGACAAGATGGAGGATAGAGGATTTTTAATTTCCATTTCTGTTCGAGAACAGCGAGAAGTTTTTCACTGTATTAACAGGACGGCAAGAGCAGTAACAAGTGCAACTTATAAGAAATGTCGTTTTATTTAAATTAATCGTATTTAATGAAAATTGACTTGCAGTGAAACCCAAGACGAAACTAGCAGCGGTCTTCCGTAGAATCGCTATTTATTAGCAAAATGGTGGGAGCTTTAAGCGCCTTTCTAAGCACAAATTTCTTTACATATTTCTTTACATCAAATAGAAAACCACTACTCTTCTGAAAATCACAATGGAGAAGGAAAAATGATTAGGTACGAAAGTGTAAACGAGAAAAAAAGAATGGTTGCACATTGCATATTATGTGGCACCTATATCACCTGTCATCCAGCTAACGTCGATTGACTCAAGGAGGGCCAATAAGTCTTCTATTTCTCCCTGCCGCGTTCAAGAGTAGCTCAGTTGGTTGTGCTCGATCTAGGAACTCTTTGAGCATCATGTCTTTCTTCTAAGGTTTTCGTGAAGTACTCTGACAGTCGGATTGGTGGTTCTCCTGCTGTGCGTTTGACATCCTGAGAAACCCACTCACTAACGGCCATTGCCCATCGGTTGTCGTTGATGGGGATTACTGGTCGCGTACCTTATCTTTGGCGTATAGAGCGGCGTCTTCGATCTTTGATCATTAACGTAGGTCGGAGCTTCGGATCCTTTCCCTCACTTCTGTGATACGGGGCACTCCTAGCATCGCACTTTTGTCTGCGAGTTCAATAACGTTGAGTGATATTTCGTTCTGCATACGCGGCCACCAGAATTCCAACGCTTAGGTTAAGGCACGATGATTCGTGGAGTTGGAGAGGAGGGCACTTACCAAACACTAAATGGAGGAAAATAAGACGTTATTGTATATTGTATTCAATATAAAAGGGAGTCCAAGTTCCAAACGTATCGTTGGAATTATCATTACCAACAGAAGCGTTACAATACTACATTGTTCCTCGAACAGTATCCAGTGGGAGGTATGTACGCGAGCCCAAATTCTCAAAGAAGTCCGAATTCTCAGACAATGTTCACTTGTTTGGCTCCTCTTCAATGAAATCATTTAGCGTGTTAAGCAAATACGTACGCAAAAAATGCTCTCTAAGATGTCTGAGCGTGGCGCAAGTTACTCGCTTTGTTAACATCGTCATATTTAAACTGTCTGTTTGCTTACATCTCCGGTTCATTTCCTCGACTGTTCCACGCTGCTCAAGAGACTCGTTTCCGTTGTGGCGACGATCCATCGGACAACAACCATTATGTTCACTTTAATCACTGTACTCTTGCTTTTGACTGCGAATGAACTGACTTGTCGTGGCGATTCTCAGTACGGGAAGTCTGCAATCAATAACTTGACTTGTAAAAGTTTAATGTTGTCCATTTGACTATAAACGATTTAGGACATCTGTGGTGTCACGAAGGTGAGAAGAAAATCTATTCACCAAAACAGTGCTCTGAAGGAACAATGGAATGCTTCAAATTTACTTGCCACGAGTCAAACGGTAAGTTCATTCTGACAAATCGGCATGAGTCACTTTCTTCCCACGCAATACGAAAATAATGGCTACTTTCTGTTTTAAGTCAGCACCTCAGCTTAATCTGTGCTCTCAACGTTCCTGTCTCAGCTCAATTAATTTCACTAACCAAAACGAAGAATGTTGAAATCTGTTGGTTTTGGCCAATAACAGGTAGATCTCTCGTTCTACCAAGATGCAGCCCTGATTTTGCGGAGCCCTGAAATTGTGCTTTTGTAGCTTTTTCTCGTTGAGGTTCCTATATCGAAAATGAAAGCAGATGAACAAACGCTATTTCCTCCACTAGTACATGACAATGTTCTCAGCCAGCGTTTTTGCAGTTCGTCGCAATCAGAATCTTATTCGAAATGTTAATGTGTAAAATGTTAATGAAACTAGTATTAAGAAGTCCCACTTTTACTCTTTTCGAAACTTTGATTCTAAACAACTTTAAAAGCAAAGTGCCAGCTTTAATGAGCCATATGAGCTCTTAGGCAGACCGAGCAAACTCTCTTCTATAAAATGGTGACATTTTCAACACCTCGCGTTCTCTAGTTATCGAAAAGTTATCTGTAGTTTGTGGAAAACCACCCTCTGATCCTAATTGTTAATCAACTTTACCGTTACTATTTTAAGCCCAGTTATGTCATTCCACCTATATGGTCAAACTACAGAGTAACTTTTCATGTTGTTATTCCATCCGATTCACTCCCTTCTTTAACCGAGCATGTTACCCTCTTGGTCTAGCTAATAAACAAAGTGAACATAAACATATTAAACATAACAAACATATAACATAAGAGAAAATAACTCTTATTTAATGCCTTTCCACCGAGAAGAAACAGAATCTAGACAGAATACTTCTCGATAATAGTATCAATTTTCCTATTCACTTAACCCAAACGACGAATCTAAGAGCCCTAACGCTTTCCAGTATGAAAAAATTTCTTGCCACGATCCAAGATTATTTATATCTCCCTAGAACTTCCGAAAGTTACAGAAAAAAAATGCAAACTACAATAACTACTGTTTTTGTGCTTCTCAGATCGTTCCCGTTTACGGATGGCTGCTGATAGCATCGTTGGGGTAAAAACATGGGTGAAAGAAAAACAAATCAAAGACCTGCGTTGATGTGGTGGATAAAACATGAGCCCTTTATGAGAATAATCGCTGGTTCGAGGCCCAGCTGAAGTTCCCGGTTTTGTTCACATCCTAGCATTCTTGCAGTTGTATTTCACATTGTTCCCTACTATGAAAAATGAATAGGCAGTAAGTAAAAGCTACACATTCCAATGATTCTTGAACAGAACTAGACATTAATGAATTCCATACAATTTAAAGCCGTTTTAATGAGAGCGAATAGTGATCTCGGCTGCAGGCGAGTTCGTCGCCCGTGGATGCGGAGTGTCCTTGCTGACATCGGCGGTCGGCCTGCCCAACGAGAGCTGCTATCAGGCATTGCAGATATGCCAGGGCCTCTTCGGTACTGCCGACTGTCGAACTTGCAACGACAAGCACATGTGCAACTCCACCGTCGTCACGACGTCGTTGTCGTTCTTATCGCTTCTGCTTATTGTCGTACCAATATTCTGGAGAAGCGGTCATTCCTTTATCTCGTCATTTTTATCATTTATTTATTGCATATCGATGTATTAAATAGTGTTTCTGTCCAGTGTACGATGAAGACTTTTTATCGAAAAGGTCAACAAGAAGGATAACGCGATAGTGCGCATCGATTTCAATACATGTGATACAAAAATGATGACTGTTCTTGATTTCAGAGCAAAATATCTCAGGCATGTATTTTACCCGTAATATATTGCTGAATGCGTTGACAACTAGTTTTTACTTCATTTTATTTCACATGAACTGACGCCAGATATTATGCCAGTCCTAGCGCGTCCTTCTCTTGATTCGGTTCCTCTCATCCATCATTCATGAAGGGCTCCAGATTGATGTGTTCGATTGCCTAGTGAGGACTGCTATCAACCCTCTCTGAAATCCTGGATGGCCGTATAATGACATTTCCAGGACTTCATCACAGGCCGTTGCCAGTGGATGCGAGGGAACTTTTCCTAGACAAGTACGGTGCCAATTCCTCGACCCAGAAGTATGGAAGGCTTGGTTGGGCTGGTGTGGATCGAACGAAAACCTTCAGCGTTTTGAAAAGCATTATTGCCACTGTGTTATCCACGCCTATTCAAAGCCACTTGGATATATAGGAATTTTCTCGCAAGATGCGAGTTCTCTTATCCTACCATGACGAAATCGTGATTCTGTCAAGCCTTCGAAATGTGCTCGCTTTCATTTTTATGTGTCAGAGCTCGTATTTCGAATAAGAAACCAGAGGAGAAAGCAGGAAAGCTAGTTTTTGCCGCTGACATTGACAAATTGAAGCTTTGCATCCATTTTTTCAGCGATTTTCAATTTCGAAAAAATTTTAAATGGAAGGGATGTTTTATTTAAAAAAATACGCATTCACTCATAAAAAAATGTCAGTGTCTTCCAGAAATCTGTTAGGTTTTCAACTTCTCCACTACTTCACAAATGGAGAAATTACTTACTTGGATACATGGACGGCCCGTCTTCACCTGTGTGGGCCTCAGCATTTTCTACAATTTTTGGAGTGTTAGTGGTTTAGCTATTGTGGTTGCCTGGAGTACCGAGGTCGGCCTAGCCAAAGTTTGCCATAGGTCGTCACCATAACGGGCACTCGGCGCTCTTGTGGATCAGAGAGAGATGTGCCACCATGAGACCAGTTTTATACGAGGACGGTGGTGGACTCTGCTATCGATTTACTCTTAGCTGGGGTTTCTGATGAAAACGCCGAGGTCCTTCTCAGCTTGGGAGACCCTGCCGGGGGTGGGAGGTGAATCTCCGCTATAAATTGCAGCCCGACACCAATGAACAACTCCCAGCCACGATGAGGCGCTAAACCGCTGGGACGAATGGAATCGTGGAGAAATTATCATGTGTTATCAAAAACTCAACTTCGTCGCGACTCTGTTAAACCCCAGACAGAAATTTGAAGTAATGGCAGATCAAAAGGACCAGAGTCTAAAGTATTGAAATATAGATTGTAGTATAGTACAATATCCCTTCAACGGTTTAGCGCCTCATCGTGGCTGGGAGGTGTTCTCGAGTATCGGAGTGCGATCGTTTCCATCAGGAAGCCTAGCTAAGAGTAAACCAGTATCAGGATCCTCCATCGTCCTGGTATCAAACTAGTCGCATGGTGGTAAATCTCTCTCTAGTAAACAAGGGCGGAGACTGCCTACGGTGGTGACGACCTGGACAGACTGTCTAGGCTGATTTCGGGAGTCCGGGGAACCACAATGGTTAAACCAGCAAAACTCCGAAGAAAACTGAATTATGCTGGGGATCACACAACCAGTGAAGACGGGCCGTTCAACTATCCAAATAACTATAGTACAGTATATGTAGTGTAGTATATGGAGATTATAGCATCTATTGCGACTAAATGATTAAGATGAGCAATGTATGTTCTTGGATCGCTAAGCAAAATATAACGATTGTCCCAATAGCTTCGAATAGACTGCCAGGTCCTGACTTCTCACGAGGGTTTGTAGTTGAAAACACTAGACCGCTTGATTGTACCCCCAGACTTCTTTCTACTCTTCCCAGAATTTGCTACCTATTCGTAAATCATCTGCAGCAGCAGAACAAAACTAATAGTATGATGCTGAGAGACTCTAGCAGTAAACCATCACAAATCTACTTCTCAAAGCACAAATAATCAGCCGATTACTGCAAGTGCACTGTTACACTGAACGATCACCAACCTTGGCTGCGGATCCAACAATCGGTCACTAAATCCCCCTCATTGGATTCACTCTCTCGGAATGATACAACAAAAACTTCCACATGGAACTTTTAAGCAAATGTTTGAAGAAGAGATTTAGCGCTCCACGGCAATCATGCATAGTTTACGTCAGAGACACCACGCCGTTTGAACTGCACGATGTGAATGACAGGTGAGGCAGTACAAAGTAATACAAAGTAAAGTAAAAGAAAGTAGCTTGGGTGTCTGTTTATTTTTAAACTAATTACTAGTTGGTATCATAAACAGTGAGTTCATAGCACTTAGTATAACGTTTATTATGCTTAATTTTCATTCATGTAGCACCCAAACTATAAAAATTTTGAGCGTTGACGCGGAACCACTTACTTGCAAAGAACAATTGTACAATTCCCGCCTTTCAAACGAAATCAAGAAGCAATCATGAATGATAACCAACAATATAATGATAATGACATTAATAAACCAAAAGACGAAAATGACATCAAAACGAGAATGAACACGATCAGTGGAAAAACACAATATTGTCTGCAACAAGATCTCTACTAAGAAAAATACAAATTCCTCCTTATCTAACATATCTAGTTCAATGAACAACGATGACTCCCTATGGAACATAACAGACGTGCCAGAAATACCAACTAGCTCAAAGGCACCTGTCCTGTCCTGTCCTGTTATGAAGGCGCAAGACTCTTTTCTCTGTGCAGAATTTCAACAACGTCAATTTTAATAGAGTAAGAAAATCTACATCACTACACACCGTTTGCACCTTCTTTGTAGCATATTTTTGAAAAAAAAGTAGCTTCATTGATGAGATCAACTGCAAACGTTCAATAACGTACCGTTTTGTGCGACGTTATGGTTTTTATACTTGGTGAAAGTAAAGAGTTCTGACCTACGACTTTAGAACGCATTTAAATTTGTGACAGGCCTCCGTGACAACCCTAATTCTCAATACACAAACAATGAAGTGGTGACGGTAAGGCGCATAAACAGCATGTGTTCGATCATTACTCGCACGACAACAATACTGTAATACTCAATCCCGAACAGGCAAGTCTGTTTCCTTTACTATTCTAATAAGTTCTAACTAGAGATTATCGACAAAAAACTCGTACGGATGGTTCATTGCCATGCGAAACGACTGTCGACTAGCAGCAAGATCAGAGGGCAGCTCGTCCAACCGTTGCGGAATCGCTGACGTGGATGGTGCCGCTGGAATCACCACAGCACGATGCCTATAAAAATAACTATAAAGAATGATTTAATTGAATCATAAAGGTAGAGATAAAGGATAAAGCTCTTTGAGTTGATCAAACCTTGAGGGGTGCGCCATACACTCGACTTCATTATGCATCGTTGGAGGTGACTTAAAGCATATCTGGCCTTTACAGTGACTCGCAGTGGCCTATCGATGTATCCTCCCAGACAAGTCTGGCACCAATTTGCCAACGCCGGAGGGATAGAAAGCTTTGTTAGCCTGGGCGCTGGGACTGATCTCAAGTGTATTGCAGATTGCTTCCGATCACTGCCCTACATGCACCCATAAAATGGACGTTCGCACTATTCATTTACTAACTATCTGCCAGTATGGCTTTATTTAAGTGAAAATTACTAAGGAAGCGAATGTTAATTCATGCTCAGCGAAAAACTGTCACGGTTCGTATTGCACTTTCGTGTTACGTTTTGTTTTCTAGATGGATTCACCAGCAAGGAGTTGGTTAGAATAAAAGAAAGCAAACCCGCGTCTGCTCCAGACTACAGGACTATAGTAAACATGATGATTTACTGCTAAACCACAACACACTTGTTTGAAATGGAATTTTAAGAAACCTCTTATGGTCGCTGCCGGATCCACTGCCATCTCCAGATCCACCGCTAGCTTGTGACCTCACATCGGGGCCTGCTCCACGGTGAGCCGACGAACCACCTGGTACACTAAAATGAGGGAAAGGCGAAACTGGCATTGAGGCGTATCCGCTTACCTAAAATATCCTTATATTATAGTGGAAAGCAATAAAGGGAAAGTGCAGAATATTATGCCTTAAAGCAGACACTTAGTCCTAAATACTATGAAAGGGTAAAGAATGGGTTAAAGACAACAACACAAGTTAAAGTCAACCTCAACTTGAAATCGTTTATATCTGAAGCTTGCACAAATTATGATATGATAAGTGAAGAAACTGTTCATTAACGGCGCAATAAAAGTTGATGGAGGATCTGCTAGACCGCTTCAAATATCGCTAACAGGTTAATCAAATCTTTGGTACCAGTGAAATACTTCGATATAGTGAATTCCAAAACTGAGCAAGGTTAGAGGCATAGATTATTTGTAGAACTACATCCTAAGTGATCCAGTTTGAATACTAAAAACTAACGAAGAAGGTCAACTTTCTTTAAATTTCAGAACTGATTCAATGCGGCAAAAAGAGAAGACGTACTGATGAGATACAATTGCTCTCTCAAAAAACTAACTGCTGCATCACACTTAAAGCAAAACTGTAAATAAGTATTTCATTATCATTTCTCTGCTGGTCATTATCCTTCTTAGAACCTCCTTCCATGGCAGATACGATAACTGTGGGATCATGAACTACTTGTTGATCAAACTAGAAAGATCAGTTCGTTTTTTCGTACTAAAACGTAAAAGCTTAAAAGTTAAATATAGAACTGGACCAATTCGAATCTATTATATTTTGTCAGAAGTTTACACTAACATAATGATATCATAGCTAATGTTGAGGCATTTTCACTGTGTAAATGGCAAATATGGGAGGCTTTGGCTACGTTGACCTCGGCATTCAGGGAAATCACAATGGCTACACCAGCGAAACTCCGAAACGAAAGAAATTATGCTGGGCCTGCAAAACCAGTGAAGGCGGTACATCCAAGTATCCGAATAAGGGGGAAATATTTCGGAAAATCTTTCTTGCAACATGCCACTTCGAAATATTACGTTTCCAAAAAGTAGATAACAAAAATAACGCGAAGCAGATATTGAGTAGAACAGCAAACAAATATAATGATGCTTAAATAGAAAAGAAACGTAAGTAAAAAAATTGAATATAGCTCATGTGAGAAATGCGGCAAGAAGTTCTTATATCTGAATATTCATAGAAAATGTTGAGAATTGAGGCAAACACCTAAAAACGAGAATGAATGTGCCTTTGAAAGAATGAAAGTGAAAGTAGCTAATTAGCCTCGTGGTGTCGTAGGCCACAACGTTGCCCAAGCATAGAAGGCTAACAGATGATATAAGTATTACTAGAAAAACAACTGACAGAAACGCAATGTAAGGTCTTCAGTGGTGCAGTGTGTAATACGCAAGCCGCCGGAAAGGGTAATAGTGGCTTGATATGGTCCGGGGTCCAAGTTTAAAGAATATCTCAACATCGTCATGGGTGCATTTCACATTATACCCTGCCGCGAAAAATTACAGTAGGCAGCAAATAAAAGGGTAACATGGTAAAAGTATTGTATCAGAGGTGATGTGTGGAAGAAATAAAAGAAAAAACTAGAAAAAAAAGGTCTACCTCAACCATACTTCTTAAATGATTCATTAGTGCTAGCTTGAGAAAGAAGTTCTTTTTTTAGTAAAATTAGATTCACTACATTACTTGGTATAACAACTTAACAATTTTGATAAGGTTTTATCTTTTCCCTTGACATAGCAGCCTAAACAACGTAAACTGACAATTTAAAAAAATAATCAAGTAAATATAGAAACACTATCGACTTTGTGCATAGGATCTTACTGGCTCCTAAGTTTTGGCTTTTCAGTAGAAAATACCAACTGAAACAAACGGAGCTGATGATCTTACAGTCGAAGAATGTCCACTTTGTAAAACTTTAGAAAAAGGAAACGAAAAAACAAATGGTCTTAACAGAGACGAACTTTACACAGATCATAGAAATCACAGATGTAACGACTCATAGTTAATGAGCTCGGAATAGCCATCGTCTTACGAAATGAATGTAATGCCTCTTCGAATGATGTTCAAGGCTCAATCCGTCATAAATAAGAAATGTGGTTAGGACTGTGCAACAGTATCATCCACCATAAGCATACACTCATAAAGAGGCGATGGTTATTGGCGAACATGTGCATAAAACGCAAATGAAATAAGAGACGGCCGGATAGACGCCGGAGTGGTGAGGATGAGCATGCATTTAATTGACTAGATGGTTGTTATGAGGTGAGTGACGACTACCACATAAAAACGCAACAAGACGCAACCAGGACGAGGACCAGGACATTGAGGATTGTTTTCGTTGGACGAGAGACAACAGGAAGATCAAATATCCATGACGTACATCCGTCCATGCGCGTCGCTTACCATCGAAGCTGGCGCCTTCGCGCTCCCTGCTACCGTTGACCACGGCAATCGTTGCTGCTGATGAGCGACAAGATCTTCTGGATGAGCTCGGAAACGCGCAAAATCTGTAATGCTAATGCTCATCAATTACTGACCACTCTCTAGCACATTAGGGCTCTTCCTCATGAAAAGATATCTATGTACCTCTTAAGGTGATTTTTCAACTTGAAGTCGAAATCTTCAAAAATCCAAAATAAAAGTATTTAATTTCTATAATCCTGGGAAATTTGCAAAACTCCGAACCGCAGCTGTCAGCGGTGGAGAACGAACGCACTATTGTCCTCTCCGGGCAGCAACGCGTTCACCACCACACCATGGGAGTCCTTCACTTCGCGTGTCTCTCAGCTAGTTCTATCGATCTTTTTCCATCAGGAATCACCCGTCAACGGGATTGATCTGTGGAGCCCAAATCGGCATTGAACAAAGTTAAGCTGAGGTTCTAGTTATAATTACAATTATATTTCGCAACATACTCTGCCGTTAAAAATAGGCAGTAAATAAAAAAGGTTAAGATTGTGATTATAACTATAGCCTCAGCTTAACTGAGTTCAATGCCAATTTGGGCTCCCTAGAACAATCCCGTTGACGGATGATTGCTAATGGCAAGTGATCGACAAAACTAGCGACAGGCAAAACGGAAGAACCTCATGGTGTGGTGGTGAACGCGTTACTTCCCGGAAAGGACAATAGCGCGTTCGTTCCCCGCAGACACCTACGGTCCGGAGTTTAGGAAATATCTCAGCATTATCTAGTTATATTTCGCAACACACCCTGCCGTTAAAACGAATATGCAGTAAATAAAAAAAGTTAAAAGTATTTATTGCAAAAATCTTGGTGCAAATGCTGCATCCAACTCTGTATTTCAAAATACTGCGTCAATGTTCAAGGTAGAAGAGTCTATGGAAAAAATCTGTTGACTTCAAAAAGCCCCAAACCGAACTTAGCCGAATAAAAAAACTTTTATGCAGTTTCAAAATATCCGTAAATTCTAACGATTTCTTACTTCAACTAATAACATTTACTATGAGTTGAGTTGTCTTTGTTTAAAACTGAAGAAAAGAGAAATATTTTCTGCCATGTATACCCCGAAACTAATGCACTTTATTACGTATGTGTTAGTAAGGTTCACTGCGAAATAAGATACTTGTTTTAATAACTCGAAAGACCGACTTTCTATGAACCTCGGCATAAATAGTTGATATATTTATTTATGAGATCTTATAAACTGATCTTCTTAAGCTGACGCGAGGTTGGTACAGATCTTCGTTGTCGTTGTCGTTGTTTTTGATGTTATTGATCGATGGCTGACGTTTCGGCGACTTCGCCTTCCTCAGAGCCTGGACGTACTTTATGTTAGAATACTTTTTATTATTCGGTGGAAAAGAAGGTTAAAGTATTAATGAAGATCAAACTTTCAAATAGACGCCATATTGAACAGAAAGGCCACTCACCGTGATGTTACGTGCGGGACTGGCCCACACGTAGTTCACGTGGAGTCGCGAGCAAGACACGCCCCGGGGTCAAAATATCATTTTGAAATAGGGCGCCAGGTCACGTGTGATAGTGAGGCATTCGTCCTTCCGGTTCATCTTTGGATTTTTGAAATTTATCCAAAACGCCTCAAGAGTTTTGCG